AAAAAAAAAAAACAACTTGCTCAATTCCATTGATTTTTAATCAAATAAAAAAAATTACGATTCAATTTATACTTAAACAAACTAAAGAAAATGATATGCATTTATAGTTGTATTATATTTGATTAAGTATCAAAAGTATATCTTACGATACGAAATGTATTATATGATACAATTGATAACTTTTTTTTATAAGTTTAATTTTAATTAATTATTAAAAATTTATTTTTTTTTATTTTTTGAATTGAAATGTGAAAAATTATATTTTTATGAGTTTCAATCTTTGGATTTTAAATAAAATATATTAAAAAAACAAATTCCCTTGTAATTTTCACATTATAAATGTTTTTTTAATTTTTAATTAATAAATTAATATAAAAATATATATATTTATTTAAAACCTATATTATTAAGGAATATGTTGAAAATTTAAATTAAAAAATAACTATCTTTTAAATTTATGATCTATAATCTTTGATTCTTTTAAAAAATATAATATTTTTAAATTTTTTTATTTTATATGTATATGATACATGCTAGATGCTTAATATTAAAAAATAAAATTTTGATATAGGATATGTATTTCGATTTAACAATTATATTAACAATAAGATTACAATTGAGAAATTGTCGACTTTTTTATGAAAAGAAAAATTATTTTCCCCCATCACTTCATCCATTTGATTTGAACTTGGATCCATCTTAATTGGCTTCTATCCGTATATATAAGACTTACCATCTTTGTCATTCAACATTTTACTTCCTAAATGCTTCCCACTTGATCTTGGCTCTCTCCTCATAGCGCTTGTTTTCCTGTTCCTAGCCCTCCACCCAAAGGCAACCATTTTAACCACCTTTCTCAACTCTTCTTCGTAACGGCCTCTCAAAAATTTAAATAAATTTTTATACATTTATTATATTTAATTAAATTTTTATATTTTTATTTTGATTAAATGAGCTTTTATGATTAATGATTGACTAATTGTTATTATTAAAATGTCACTTGTCATTTTATATCTAGATAATACGAATGTAAAAAATGAAAAATATCATATGATTATATCATCATATTACATTAACATGTCTTATCATTATCCATTATGATATATTAGTATGTTACATTAAAATCAGATGGTATAAAATAATAATTAATTTTTTAATTAATAATAATTAATTAATTATTAATCATAGGGTTTATTTAGTTCAAATATGGGGTTATTTAAATTTTTTTGAATAATTTAAGAATTGTTTAGGTATTATGCCATTAACTATTTATTCAAAATTTTTTACTTAATTCAATTTTAAAGATCATATTATATGAAGAATAAAGGTAAAAAAATTATTTCAAAAATAAAAATTATTTGAAATTATAATTTTTCATAAAATCTAAAAAATTTAAAAAAATTGTCCAAAATTTTATTTTTCTTTTTTCTGTTATTCATTTCTTTTACTTTTCTCTTCCTTGTCATTTTTTTTTTTTAAAACTTTTCCTCCCCATCTCTCTTCCATCTGCCAAGAACTAGCCAGCAACAAGGAAAGGCTAGAGGCAATTCAGTCCCTACTGCCTTCAATTTGGCAAGGTGGAGGGGATTGGGTTTCACATTAGTTGTGAAGCTCGATGTATTCCCTCTGTCAGATTTGCAAAAGCAAGCATCGATCTAGCTCCAACCACGATCATAGAACCAACAAGGCCAGATCCAATCCTTTGCCACCGTCGGTTGGAAATAGAGAAAAGGGAAAAAGAAACAGAATAAATAATAATAAAAATGTGAGAAAAACATCTTAAAACTTTCATAATTTAATGTTGACATAATAATTCATATAAATTTTTATTTTTATTTTGAATCAAATTATCATTGATTAAAATATCTCTTATTATTTTATTTTTATTTGATATTAACGTAATAAGTGAAAATAACATGTGATTATATCAATATGTCATATTATTTTTTATTATAATAGATCAGTATATCATGTCAACATTATATGACATGACAAATGACGTTTTGATTAACAATGGTTAATCAACTCTTATAACGTTATAAGAACTTATTTGATTTAAAATTAAAATATAAAAATTCGATTGAATGTAATAAAAATAATAAATTTATTTGATTTTTTTAAATAATTTGAAAAAATTTAAAATATTATGCCGTTAATTTTTTCTTTTTATTAACTAGTACATGTGTCCGCCAATATTCGATAAAAAAAACCACTTTACTAATGTATAAAAATTAAGAAATTATTTTTTCAACTACAAGATGAAAACATATGCAACTTAAACTTTGAGAAGTATGGCTCACTCACAATATATTTTGTTAAGTTTTGTGAGTAAAAGATCCATATGATTCTGATATTATAGAAATTCAAAGGAGAATTAAAGAATAAAATGGGTAGTGACAAAGGGGCAGGTTGGTGAGGTGGATGCACATATTTCAGACCTGCTGTTGGGTCGTCTCATTTTCACTTTGTTCTTGCCATCCTTGGGAGAATTATTATTGCGGTGAAGGGTCCCACCTCCATCCCTTGATCACATCACATTATATTCTTGCTTCGCATTTAGTTACAAAGAGGTTTGAAAACATCTAAAGCTTTGTGCATCACAAGAGCAATCCACTCACATTCTTTCTCAACGCTGGTTCTGTGATTTCTGCCTAATTCGATTACAAAAGTAGTCGCTAAAACTCACATTCTCGCTCAAATTGATACATTGCCACTCTTCCAGTTACATGGAATGCTTGTGTCAACAGACTCTCAACATGGTTCCAACAAAGGTAAAAAGGAAAAAGCTACTAATACAAGTACCAAACCATCTTCATTTTTATTAAAGTGATTGTGTACAAGGTGGCAATCTAACCTCTGCTGCTGAGAAGCAAGCAATCTTCACTTCTTTCAACTGAATTGGTCACTATGAGACAATAAATCATGCCCAGAGAACCAGCAAGATGTCTTGAAAATGGCCCCAGTTTTTATTAGTACACAAGGATGATGCAATTTCTATAATTCACTCACAGGAATAAGATTTCTTCCATCTGTTTGCAAGTGGTATTTTTCCTTTTTTAAC